GCCTTTGTTTGTGTTTTGTTAAGCTTTAGTAAATACTTGAAAATTTAATGCCGTTTGGCCAATAATTAAGGAAAAACATTTCCAATAACCCCATGTACCCCATATACCCAAACGCCCCTTCTTCCCCTCCAAAAACGTTTTCTTTTGATAATTCGCTCAACAATCTGGCGCATACTTCGAGATATTAATCATACGCACGGTTGTCAGCTTTGATTCGCCAGATTCGCAGTCAATGAAGAATTTAAAGTACACGCGCCGAAAAAATGCAAAAAAAAAATGCAGAAGGAAAACCAAGAAATCTCTATTTCCATTTAATCACAGAATCACAGGAAGCGACCAAGGGAAAACCAGTTGGAGAATGAGAGAACAAACATCAATGAACAATTAATGTGAAGACAAGTTCCGAAAAAAAGGAAATATAAGAAAAAATTGGGCAAGAAGTGAGTGAGAAATGGGAATGGGAATCAGAATGGCAAAAGAATGCAAAATCGAATTGTAAACAGTGTGTTCGATGATGATGGCACACAAAGCCCAAGGAAAACCATTAAGAAAGCATCGGACAAACAAAAGGCAAAAGGAGAACTGAAGGGCCGATAAAAAAAATGTGAATTCCAAGGCTGTGGTTTAAAATGTTTCAGCACCCAAAGTCTCGCAGGGATTTATTCTTTTCCTGTTTCTTGTTCTATTTTTGCCTCTTTTTTTCCAGCATGCCTTTTTCATTAAATCTCTATTTACTTTCCATTAAGTTACATACAATTATTTGCTCACTTCTTGCGGCTACAAACAGCTTACGTTTTAAATAAATGATTTCTGATTTTGTTACACTTTCAAGGCCAAGTATTAAGTAAAAACGAAACAATATACGCTACGTATACGTGATATTTTGAAGACAGCTTCAAGCTTGTCTAGATCAACAAAAATGAGTAAAACCTTTTTTAAAGAAAATTGTAAGGACCTTTAATCCTTTTAAAGAAAATCCTATTACCTCTTTCCACTTTCAAAACAAAAATAAGTTAAACATATTCTCACCAAACTTTTGTTTTTAAAACAAAAACCACGTGCAACTTTGCGTATGCGCGATATTCTTTAAAATCAAGTTCCCTTGGCAATTTCACTCACCTTTTATCGCTCCGAAGGCCTTTTACTTGGTTTCTGTTGTTGTTTACCTTGGATTTTCTCCTTTTCCGCTTCGCTTTCCAAAAACTTTTGCTTTGTTTTAATTTCAATTTCAAATTTGGTTTAGATTTTCCTTTTTTTCGAATTTTCAATTCGCATTCAGCTTAATGTTGTCTTTTATCTGGTGTCTCTGCCAAAGTCACAACAATAACCGAAAAAAAACAACAAACAATGGTATTTTTAATGGGGTGTGAGGGAGCATGTGTGTACGTGTGCGATAGAGATCGACATATATATATATAGAACTATATAGAATTTCAAAACAAAAGTTGCGCGCCCAGGAAGTCCACGATTGTTGATTGTTGTTGCTGCAAATCGCCCGTCGGCGTTCGATGCCAAAATACCTCGGGGTATCGAAAGAAAAACACATTTCATTTTCGTTCAAATGCAAAAACTCCTTAAACAAAAGCTAACGAAAAACTAAAATTTCAATCATAAAACATTAAATGGAAAGAAACACAAAGACTTGATCATTTATTTGTACGATTTTTTTCAAATTGGTTGGGAAAAACTCATTGCATTCAACAAAATAAAATGAAAAAAGAAAGCGCACTTTAAATATTTAACCATTTTTTAAAAGCTGTTTAAAATTGTTTGTTTCAGTTAAAAAATATAAATAAATTTCAAAAGGCTATAAAAAATATACCGAAAACATGTTAGGCACTTTTTTAAACTATTTCCGAAATATGGACTTCAAAAAAACAAGAAACAACGTCGAAACTTTCCATGGGCATATGTACACTTTTCTAGAACATTTTTCAAAGATCTTTCGCATGTGTTATTGTCAGGCACTTTTAAACATTTTTGTTTTTGTTTTAAATGTTCAGAACTTTAAGACGTTAAACAACTCAAAAAAAGTTTCAAAAAAATTTCGAAATCTCTCTATTTGTTTATATTGTCACGCACGAATTCGGTTGAATTATTCAAAACTTGAATGCCAACGGTATTTAGTGTTGATTTTGGTATGGCTGCTCCTCTGGTATTTTTTATTTAGTGGGTATGTGTTTTAGTGGGTGGTGTGTATATCGTATCGCTGGGACTCCAAGAACTACAACAACGCAGTGTTATCCGCTCGGAGGCTGAACGCCTACTGGATGTTTGGATGTTGCACGCGCCGAAAGCTTCCGCAGAATGTGCCGTTACGTTTGCCAAAGCACGCAACGCGTCGGCTGCGCAGTCGGCAGAGCAGCAACGGTGTCGCTGGCAGCGACGTGCACGAACACGAGCGAACACGACCGAACACGAACGGACACGACCGCGGAATACCGGACTGGACTCGGAAACTCAGGGGAGATTTCGCCAAACTAGCTGTTTGAAAGTACAATTTCAAACTTAAAAGAGCAATTTCTAAATAGTAAAATTTACTTTCCTCTGCAAAACATTATACTCTAAAGTTAGTTACATTTAATAAAAGGTGCTGGGAAAATTGCTTTGCCTTTAAAATATTTTTAAATTAAAACTGATAAGCTGAACTAAGCTTATTTTTGGTAAAATAATGGCAATTCATTTTTATTAACAATAGACAGAATAAAAGTTTCAAATATTTTTCAGTAGGACTTTATGAACACAGTTTTCAATGCGCAGGTGCCAAAGATTTAAAAGCAACTAAAAGAACTGAGTCAAAAGGAAGACTGCGTGTAGAATTGAATTTGTAAATTAAGAAATATATCAAATAGTTACATATTTACATACACATGTTTAAAATATTAACATTTTACTGCTAGGAAATTTATTTATTGAAAGGTTTTAAATAAAAACTAAAAACTTGTCCCTTAAAGATAATACTTCAACGATCTTTTTGGGCCAGCTGACTGGCCTTTTCCGTTAATTGCATTTTCCCTAGCACGGACGTCCAAAAGCGCAGCGCCTTCCGCCCTGATCCATAAAACATATCTGCCTGAATAATTCAAGGCAAATATAACGCAGTCTACACGCCGCCAACCGAGAACGAAAATGAAAACGACAACGAAAACTCTACACGTCCTTGCTCACGCACTTCGCACAGTGGGATGTTTACAATAAATTGAGGAGTCTTTTAATATCAAAGATAATTACTAATAAAGCATTTAAATTTTTTGAAAATAAAATAAATACTTAATCATTAATAACTAAGAATTAATTAACATAACATTAACAAAAGCTTCCTTTTTAATTTTTTTTTTGCCTGTATTACTTTTATATTTGCAAAATAATATAAACATATCCCTTTGTTCGTTGGATTTAAATATAAAAATATATATTTACATCATTTCTTCTTTACACCTGCTTCGTTTGAAATCGCCCACTGTGCTCAGGTGTTCTCAGTGGAGAGTTCCACGGAGAGCGTGTTGCTCTGGTGGGCTGCTGCCCTTCCAGTCGGACTTCCCTTCGTTTTCCAGTCGGCCTCGTGTGCTAACAAGTGGAAAGCAACAGTTGAAATGAATGAAAACTTTCGAAGCTGCTCGTTTCTCGCTGTCGCCGCGGGCAGAGGCGCGGGCAGCGACGCCTGCAGCGACGCCAGCTTCATGTGTTGCTTCTCCTGCTTCACCTGCTAACCCAGTGGGCGGTGGGTGGTGGGTGGTAGTCGGTGTTGGTTGGTTGCCCAGTGGGTGGAGGTCGCCTTTCCGTTAGCTGTTGCTTTTTCCAGCCAGCACAGCACACTGTTGCTCTCGCTGAGACGTCTGTTTTTCTTTTCTGTTTCTGTTTCTGTTGCTTTTTCTTTCTTTTTTGGTTTTTGCGGTGGGGTAGGTGGATTTTTGGGGGTTCTCGGTGGGGTGGATTGCTCTTGGTCCCGTTAAGCAGCAACTAATTTTTGTTAATCACACCTTAATGACATGAACTTGACACCATTCCATTGCCGATGCCTCGATTTCCATAAATTAGGCAAGCAAATAGACAACGTAATGCACAGCAAAGAAAATGTTTTTAATTTACTGATTAATTGATACCAAAAATGATGTGTGAACGTATGTATTTAAAAGGTTCCCCATTTTGTAAGTGGAAAAATAAAAAAGTTAAGATTAAGAAAAAGAAAATTATATTATAACAATAACATGATTTAGTAAAAAAAATAAAAAATGGTTTTTGTGTATTAAACAAATATTAAAAAATATATTATATCATAAAATAAGAGTGTTACTTTTAAAACTAATTTCAGCAAAATCTTAGCCATAGCTTTTACGAATTCTTAACCATTTCGAACCAATAGGAATATTTTTTTCAGTGTTTTAGTCTTTGTTTGAGCGACACTTAATTACAATGTGCCAACTTAAGGGCAACTACAAATATAAAGTGCAGTTCACAGCAAATGCAACACACATACATACATACACCAAACACACACAAACTCACGCATGCACGCTTTGATTTTAATGAGTTGCCAGCCGACAAAAAGAACCAAATCGTTTTGACAGCCCCACGAATAAATCAACATTTTTGATGCAGCTTTTTTTCTGATTTATGACCGAACATTAAAGTGAATTTGTGAAAAATGACTGGCCATTAATAGACTTGTTTAAACTTAATAGTTTTGCAAGCACTTGATATTAAGTGCCTGACTCATTACACTCGTTTTTATTGGTTTTGAGTAATTAATGTAAACATAATGGGTTAGTTTTCGAAATGATATGTACCTACCATATTATTTCAAGATTTAAAATATAAAGAAAAAGACATGTTTTTAACTATTTAACAATATTAATCCGCTATTAAGTTATAGTTCAATATACTATATTATTTTAAGACTTAGAATATTAAAAAAAAATCCTTTTAACTATTTAATAATATGGATCATTTATAAAATTACAGTTCAATATGCTATATACCATATTATTTCTAGATTAGGAATATAAAAAAAGGAAAATCTTTTTAACTATTTAATTATAGTGATCATCCTTAAAGTTAAGATTAATGTAGATTTCTAATTAAGCATCCTGAATCCTCTCCACCTTGGGCTAGTTCGTTATCCACAGATAAGTGAGTAATACCTACTCCCCGATGAGATGCATCATCATTAGGGTCGTGATTAGCAGAACCAGCTGGGTTCCCAATCTGCCGGCTCCGCCATTCGCATATTCATCGAAATAATTGCCATATATGGCGAAGGTCATTAGCTGGCTGTGCGGTTGTCGCAGTTCCATCTTAATTCTGGTCAGATTATCCAATTCCTCCATGGACCAGGTGAGTTGAGAGGGTTGCAGGGCGTACAGATGCGAGGAACTGAGTGTGCTGGGCATAATGAGACGTCTGGGTCGTCGGACAAACTCGCCCAGGATCTGCAGTTCGGTGAACACCACTCGTTGCTCCCGCTGCTCCTCGCTGATTAGACCGCAACTTTCCACACTCGAATTGCTGCAGGCAAACAGACCACATAGCCGGATGGCACTGTACTGCTCCTCCTCGTAGCGCCTTTGGCCCACCCAAACCCCCAGTCGATAGTTATGCCCACCATCCACCGGGGACCATTTGATCCGGAACTCACAGCACAGATCCTCCTGGCACAGCCTCTTGTCCACGGAACTTCCTTCCACCATGGGCAGCTCCCAGGTGGCAAACTTCTTCAGTTCCGGCTGCTGCAGCAACTTCAATCGGATGGGAGTCGTCTCATCCGCCTCCAGTAGCTCATTATCCATGGGCTCCTCCTCGGGATCCAAGGGCACTCGAGCCAGGAGCAATTTCCTTTGACCCTCCGTCTCATCCTTCATCATGAGTCTGGCCAAGGCGCCCTGTTCACCCGCATAGATTCCAGAGCCACTGATTCCCGCCTGCGGAAGACTCCCACCGGCGGCCAGAAGATTCACCCGGTTGGACCAGGCCCAACCCTGTTGCAATTGGGAGGCTGTAAGATGAGTTCATACAGTCAGTTAGTACAGTCACCACAAAATGTATTTTTAAAATGGAAGAATCGACAAACTTAATTGAATAAAATGTCATAAAATATCTTTGTTCTATGGTTTCCAAGATTGTTTAAGGTTTATTTTCAAGTTTTTCAAAATTGCTTGCTGAAAAATAAATTGTTGAATTAATTTTAAAACGCTTTAAAAAATGAAAGTTTGTAAGAAAATATTAGTTTTCTTTTTTGTGTTCAATAAATATTTTTTATGGACTTAAGAAAAATGTATTTATGTATGGATCTCTTAGGCAGCTTATTCTTTGAAATACAAATAAGGATTTAATTTATATTTTTAATTTCTGTATTTACTGTTTTACACTTAAAATTAATTATAATATACTTTAAATTTCCATATAAACAGCACTATACTGTAGTTAAAAACACCTCAAATATAATTTTGGTTGTAATGCAATATTTTCCAGTTTATAAAAACCTTTTAAAAAAGATTTCCCAGAGAACTACATTTTGCAGCCTAAGAAAATGCTTAATTTCTGAATTTTAATGTATAATTTCACTACTATACCATATTAGTTGGAAATTTTCCTCATAAGCAACACTCACCCGTGAGAAAGGGCAGCTCCGAGTTGAACATTTTGGTGACGATCACATGGCGAATGCCCAGTCGCTCCACCAAATCCTGGGCCGGAGTATAAAAGAGCATATCGAAGCAGACAAAATGGCCGAAGGTGACCCCGAAGTCCGTTTGGAAGGTGGCCAGCTCGGGCTCCTCCGTTCGATTGGTCGAGGGTTCCAGGTAGAGATTCCACTTTCTATAGCGCGAGATCACCGCTCCTTGTCGATCGAAGACCACATTGGTGTTATGGATCATATTAGCCCCAGAAAACTTATCAGTTGCCCTTTCCTTGACATTTACCAGCAGATAGGTGCCATATTCCCTGGCCGCACAGGCCAGTTGTCGCAGAAAAGGAGCTATCTCGGTATCATCACCCGGCTGCTCTTCGCACAAACTCAGTTTCGTGAACTCGGGCACCGCTGTTAGGGTGAGCACACCGTTTAGGGTGGCCTCCGGGAAGACAATGATATCCGTAGTGCCATTACCCAGTGCCATGAGCTCCAGATAACCGGCCAGATTTGCCTCCAACAGCTGTTGTGAAGTACCGCCCATTATCGCCGGTCGAAACTCGGCCACACCTGCTGTATAGAATCCATCTAAAGCCTCGCTGGAACTAACAACCAATCCGCCGAAGAGCCACACAAATAAACGGAGGAGTTTAAACATGGTGCTTCGGATTCAACGATCGCAGGCCGACTAATCCCAACCGGTTTTCCAAGCTGCGCATATATATATAGATTGCCTGATTTCTTTCGTTTGTTGTTAACTGTCTGTAGAGATTTACTATCTTATCGTTTAAATCGGTAATCAGCTGATTTGTGCGTGCATTCCTATTTTTAATTGGGTTTAATGAAGTAGAATTTTGGGCTTTTGGTAAAAAAAAAACATTAAAATTGAAAAAATGACATTACCAAAAAATATCGTAAGTCTATATCAATATTATAATGGCCTAGAAAAACGGGAAGTAGCGCTTGCAGACAAAAGGGCTTGACTTAAAAATCTAAAAAAATACAGAAATTAGGAAATAACATTAAAAGTGAAAAAACTACATAGCCAAAAAATATCGTGAATTAATATCAATATAAAAGTGGCCTAGAAAAACGGTAAGTAGCGCCTGTAGCCAAAAGGGCTTGAGTTAAAACTCAAAAAAAAAATACAGAAATTTGAAAACTTAAAATTGAAATAATTACATAACCAAAAAATATCTATAGCAATATAAAAATGGTCTAAAAAAACGGGAAGTAGCGCCTGTAGCCAAAAGGGGCTTGACTTAAAAATCCAAAAAAAAATACAGAACTTCGGAAATAATCTTTTATTATCTGCAGGGTTATATTCAGTATACTTTCGGATGGCTATAACCACAGGCCAGTTGCTCCTCGGCGGTTCCCACGCCAAAAGTGCAATCATTATAGTAGTAGTTGCCATAAATGGCAAAGGTCAGCAGGTGACTGACCTCCTGGGATGGCCTCAAAGCGAATCGCACCTGATGGCTGATAAGAATAAGAGAGTTAGATCCTTTGATCTAAAAGATCCCCGACAGACTTACCTTTCCTCGGCAGTCTGTTGTTGTGACCACTCAAATTGCTTGGGCTCCAGGGGCAGTAGATTATCGAGGAGGGTGTTGGGGAACAACAGGAACTCCCGCGAGTGCGGATAGGTGACCCTAATCTCCAGTCGGCTGAAGGTCACCTCGGGCTGCCGAAGGTCAACCATCAGCTGACCGCAATCGTCTATTGAATCGCCGCGACAGGCGAACAAACCGCAATTCCGCACATAGTTGACATCCAGTCGCTTCTCATTGCGCCACCCATCGAAAATACCCAGGCGATAGCTATAGTAGCTCTGGTTTCCCATCTGGCTACCCAGGGATCTCCAGGCCACATCGAAGTGACAACAGAAGCCGCCGTGACACAGAATCTTGCTGAGATTGCCGCTTTTTCCCGATTCTAAAGGCAGCTCCTCGCTGCTAAAGTTCTCCAGATAGTCACGCTTTATGTTGAAACTCGAACTGGTGGCCGATTGCCGACCGAGATCCCTCCTCATTCGCCGCCCTCTGCTTTTATATTTGGGCACCCGGGCCACATACACAGTCCGCTCCCCCATCTCCTGGCGCATCACCCTCTTCATGGAGCCACTGCGTCCCTGGTAAATCCCCGAACCACTATTGCCCACGCTGGGATCGCTGGCCCCCGCGGCCAGCAGATTTACATCGTTGGCATAGGACCAGCCCAATTGGATCTGAACAGCTAGGGAAAAAATTAAAAAAAGAAACAAAGGGAAATTTGGTATTTACAAAGTATGCAACCACAAAACCACTGGTAACAAATAATAATAAGTATTAGGTTTTCACTGATTTTGTTTAAAATATTCAAAAATTGGATTTGAACAGCTAAAGAATAAATTAAAAAAAAATTAAAGGAAATTTGGTATTAACTAAGTATGCAACCACAAATTTGTGGCTACAATTAAAAATAACTATTAAATTTCCACGGATTTCCTTTAAAATATTCAAAAATTGAATCTGAACAGCTAAGGAATAAAAAAACCAAAGGAAATTTGGTATTAACTAAGTATGCAACCACAAATTTGTGGCTACAATTAATAATAACTATAAAATTTCCACTGATTTCGTTTAAAATATTTAAAAATTAGATCTAAACAGCTGAGGAAAAAATTAAAAAAAAAAAAACGAAAAATAAATTTGGTAATAAATAAGTATGCAACCACAAATTTGTGGTAAGAATTAATAATAAATATACAATTTTCACTGATTTCGTTTAAAATATTCAAAAATTAAATCTGAACAGCTAAGGAAAAGTGGTATTAACTGAGTAGGCAACCACAAACTACTGGTAACAATTAATAATAACTATACAATTTCCAGTGATTTCGTTTAAAATATTTAAAGAGCAGATTATAAGCATCAACCACTTGAATATTTCGCTTGGAGGACACTTCATCTCGAGGGTTCGTGAGAGCCATCAATTAGCTCTTGTTATGCGACTCACCTGTGAGGAAGGGCAGTTGGGAGAACCACATGGCCGGGTAGACAAAGTCCGTGACTCCCTGATCCACTAGCTGATGGGCCGGCGTATAGAAGAGTATGTCGAAGCAGATGAAGTGCCCGAAGGTGACCCCGAAATCCGTCTCGAAGATGCTCGTTTCGGGCAGGTAAGTGCTGTTCTTGGGCTCACCGTACAGGTGAACCTTTCGGTACCTGGACACCACCACTCCCTGGCGATCGAAGACCACGTTGGTATTGAATACATTCAGGCCATTCAAGGCACATGGCCTCGTATCCTCCGGCACATCCTCGCACTTCTGCTTCTCGGTGAGATTGATCACAATGTATTTGCTGGAATTGCGGGCCGCACACGACAGGGTCACCAGGAACTCCTCGTAAACGCTGAACTCGGGGTCACTCAGGCAGGGATTTATCTGGTCCTCGGGATTGGGCACAAAGGTCGTGGAACCCGCCTCGTTGAGAGTGCTCTCCGGGAACACAATAATGTCCGTCAAACTGGCATTCTTCGAGTGAATGATCTCCACATAGGCGTCCAGATTATCGGACAATTGGCTTGAGGGTCTAAACTCCACCACTCCAGCCGTATAGTAGTCTCTGCTCAAAAGTAAAGCCTAAAATGGAGGAAAATATATCATAGATCTTAAAGACCTTAACACACCCACCTGCTGACTCAGACCGAACATCAACCCTAGGGTTAGGAAAAACCCCCAGTAATTCTTCGCCATGTTCTTTGCCCAGTCAGATATTGGCAAATGACTTGCCGGGTTCCTAACTTTCCGGTTTTTATAGCAATCCCAAGAGGCAGATGGGTTAATCTTATCTGCCGAAAAACATGTCGAAAACAATTTGGGTCTGGACTGGTTCGATTAAGTGGTCTCATTCTTAGACGCTCCAACTAACTAAGTAGACAGAAATAAATATTATTTATGGTTTTTGCTAGGCTCCAAAAATAGTAGGAAAAAAACCTAGTTTATAAATAGTCAGCAGACATTGGTGCAAAGTTTAAACCATTTAGAATAGGAATTATTTCAAGAACATTTAACTTTCTCCCCACTTAAAATCAAGCCTACAAGTATACACATATCATTTCAATCAACTAGTCTTATCGACTAGGTGACCCCCATATCACCGATGACACGTGACATTTTGATGGCCGATAGGCAAAACTACCTGCTCGTTTTTAAAACAACAATTTTGAAAGAGCTTGTTAACCGTTTCTGTGCAAAAATGGGTTGTAGCTTTCGGCATAGCAAACTTTTAGGCATATAAAAAAAACTATAAAAATTATATCTGCTGAAAATTTATTAAATCACTAGTCTGTGATTTTTATAAGGGGGCCAAAAAATGTGAGATTGCTACATCCTTTAGACGATCCAAAAAAAGGACGCTTAGCGCACCTTCTGCCCATTGGCAATACCTTCAAGGGGCTTTAGGTATTCGTTTATATCAAAATGATAGTACGGACAATGAATCGAATTTTCACCAAACTTCTCAATTTTTTGCTTGTTCGACTGCTTTAGGGCTTTTTTTAGAATGTTTCTCTGCTCCACATAGAATTGCAGGCACTTTTGGTGCTTCTGGTGGGGAATAATGCTGTCCAGTTCCTCGATACGATCCTCGATATTCTCCTCCAAAATCAAACGCTCCGCATTGTAGCTCTCAAAGTTATATTGCAACTGAAACTTCTCCGCCAGCTGGGTATTATTATTTTTCACCCCCGACCGAATTTTCGCAATCCAGTTGAGAAACTCAGTGTTATCCTTCCAGTGACCAGTGAAATTCTCCAAATAACTCTTCAGCGCTTTTGTCACATCTGCATCGACTTCGTCATAGGTCTCCTGTTCAAAATATATTTACATTTTTCTGGGCTCAAAAATAAAATTATATTTGTACTTTCCGATGATCCTTGAGCGATTAAACAGCCCAAAAGAAAAAGGCCCAATATCCAGGACATTTTGGTTCAGTTTGAGGAATCACAAGGCCTTGCAAAACAATAACTGATGATTTTCAGTGGATCACAAGGGCTTTATATATAAAGGTAGCTAGAACCAATTGGATACATTTGAATTTAGATAAGACTTAACTGCAAAATTCCGTAAATCGTTACGTTAAAGCCATATAGAATTTATTTCATTAGCATTACCTTCTCGTTATTATCTATTTCATTATTTGTTATAGCAGAGAACTTATTATAAAACTATATTTAGACGCGTATCTTTGCTGTTCTTTTGTAATATACGTAGCCAACCAAGATGATGACTTTCTTATTAGTTTTTTATATTTTATTTTTTGTAGGGTTTATTAGTTAATAGGTATTAAAAATTAAAAAAAAATCGCCCCATTCATTAACAAATTATGAGCAAATAATGCATTTCCGATAGATGGCGCTTTTTTTTAACATTTTAATATATAATTTTATTTAAACGATAATCAACCAAATAAATGGTTATAAAACGCATATTTAGAACAAAGAAAATAGATGTCGCCACTTTAATTTTTGTTTTAAATTATTTACCAGTCGAAAATAATTTTTATTAATTTTTATTATATAAATACTGTTAGTATCGAGCAATAGGTGTATAAAAAAAAACTGTGATCCTAAGATAATTTCCACTTTGATCTTATTGAGCACCGGTCAAGGCAATAGCCAGGATAACCAGCCATCCCCCAAGGATGGTAAGCCTCGTGGATCCACTTCTGTAGCCACAGGCCAGTTGCTCCTCCTCGGTGCCAACGCCAAAAGTGCATATAGAATTTATTTCATTAGCATTACCTTATCGTTATTATCTATTTCATTATTTGTTATAGCAGAGAACTTATTATAGAACTATATTTAGACGCGTATCTTTGCTGTTCTTTTGTAATATACGTAGCCAACCAAGATGATGACTTTCTTATTGTTTTTTTTATTTTATTTTTTGTAGGGTTTATTAGTTAATAGGTATTAAAAATTAAAAAAAATCGCACCATTCATTAACAAATTATGAGCAAATAATGGCTTTCCGATAGGTGGCGCTTTTTTAACATTTTAATATACAATTTTATTTAAACGTTAATCAACCAAATAAATGGTTATAAAACGCTTATTTAGAACAAAGAAAATAGATGGCGAAACTTTAAGTTTTGTTTTAAATTATTTACCAGTCGAAAGTAATTTTTATTAATTTTTATTATATAAATACTGTTAGTATCGAGCAATAGGTGTATAAAAAAAATTGTGATCCTTAGATAATTTCCACTTTGATCTTATTGAGCGCCGGTCAAGGCAATAGCCAGGATAACCAGCCACCCCCCATAGATGCTAAGCCTCGTGGATCCGCTTCTGTAGCCACAGGCCAGTTGCTCCTCCTCGGTGCCAACGCCAAAAGTGCACTCGTTGTCATAGTAATTGCCATAGATGGCAAAGGTCAACAGGTTGCTCACCTCCTGGGATTCCTTGAGAGCAAAGCGAACTTCGTGCACGTAGCTAGGGAAGATAAAAACACATTAATTTCTAAGGATCTCTTCCATTTTTCTAGCATTACCTATCGTCAGAGGGCTTCTGCTGCGACCAATCGAACTGATTCGGTTCCAGGGGCAGCAGATTATCCAGCAGGGTGTCGGGAAACAGCAGAAACTCTCGCGACTCTGGATAGGTGACCCCGATCTCCAGACGCGTGAAGGTTACCCGCGACTGCTGAGCCTCGCCCTCGGTGGCCAGCAGTTTGCCGCAATCATCGATGGACTCACCGGAACAGGTGAACACTCCGCAGTTGCGAATGTAATTGGCATCCACCTGCTGCTCGTTGCGCCAACCATCGTAGGTCCCCAGCCGATAGCTATAGTAGCTGCCGTTCTCCACCGCAGTTCCCAGGGATCTCCAGGCTATATCGAAGTTGCAGCAAAAGCTTCCCTGGCAGATGGTCCTATTAATGGCGCCGCTATTTCCCTCGTCGAACTGAAGCAACTCCGTCTCGTAGTTCTGCACATAATCGCGCTTCATGTAGAAACTCGTTGAAGACGCCACCTGGCGGGATTTCACCTCCGGCGTGCTCCTCCTCACACGTTTCTGAAGAGTCCTACTGCGCGAATACTTGGGCACCTGGGCCACATAGATGGCCCGCTCACCGGAATCCTGATTCATGACACTGGTCAAAGTGCCCGAGCGTCCATGATAAATGCCCGAGCCACTGTTGCCAATCGAGGGACGACTGGCCCCAGAAGCCAGGAGATTGACATCGTTGGCATAGGCCCAACCTTGTTGGGTCTGAACAGCTGATAAGGAAAATATGGAGAACAATTAGTAACCTTAGTAAGTGGTCCAAAAGAATACTAAAATATACTATCGTTTCAAAATTAAATACTCTTCTAAAGAATTCGCGTGAATACTTAAGTATACAATCGTAGCAGAATAAAATACTCTTCTAAAGAATTCGCGTGAGTACTTAAATATACAATCGTAGCAAAACAAAATACTCTTCTTAAGAACTCACGTTTTCCTAAAAAAAAGAATTCGTTTTCTTATTTGGATGGTCCAAAAAATACTAACATTTACTACAATTAAATACTATTCTAAAGAATTCGCATTCTACTTTTTTGGCTAGCTGAATAAAATACTCTTCTACAGAATTTGCGATTTCCTTAATTTGGATATTCTTAAGAATACTAATACTAGAAAACTCGCGTTCTTATTTTGTTGGTCTAAAAAATACTTGAGTGCACTACAATTAATTACTATCCTAAAGAATTCGCGTTTCTTAGATTTAGATATCCCAAAGAATTAGCCAGATAATCTGCTATTGTACTGTTCACTTTTACACTTTCCCATGCCGCTTTTTACTACGCAGCTCCAGAGATAAGACTTGGTTTGCAATTACAAGCCCTAACTGCCTAATTGCCAACCATTAACGACTTTGTAGTCGTTGTATCGGGTTGAGTGCCTGATTATTTTTTCTCCCTGTGTATAATCGGTTCGAGGCACTTCATCTCGAGAGCCATTTGCGAAAGTCATCAATTAGCAATCGATTGGCTTCCCGATAAGGGACACATGTGAATGAACTAGCCCCCGCATTCCTTATCACCCCACCTCTGTCTACGTACACATGTCTCACCTGTAAGGAAGGGCAGCTGGGAGAACCACATGGCCGGGTAGACGAAGTCCGTGATGCCCTGCTCCAAGATGAGTTGGTGGGCTGGGGTATAGAAGAGAATGTCGAAGCAGATGAAGTGCCCGAAGGTGACCCCGAAGTCCGTCTCGAAGGTGCTCAGTTCCGGCAGGTAGGTGTTGTTCTTGGCCTCGCCGTACAGGTGCACCTTCCGGTATCTGGACACCACCACTCCCTGGCGATCGAAGACCACGTTGGTATTGAAGACATTCAGTCCATTGGAGGCACAGGGCCTCGTATCCTCCGGCACATCCTCGCACTTCTGCTTCTCGGTGAGATTGATCACAATGTATTTGCTGGCATTGCGGGCCGCACACGACAGGGTCACCAGGAACTCCTCGTAAACTTTGAACTCGGGGTCACTCAGGCAGGGATTTATCTGGTCCTCGGGATTGGGCACAAAGGTAGTAGAACCCACCGAATTGAGGGTGCTCTCCGGGAACACAATAATGTCCGTGGCACTGGCATTCTCCGAGTTTATTATCTCCACATAGCCCTCGAGGGCGTCCGACCAGGCCGACAGACTGAGGATCGACTGGCGGAACTCCACCACTCCGGCCGTATAGTAATCCGAATCGGAAAGGGCAGCCTGGAAAACCGAACCCATCAAGAAGCAATCAAGTGATTAAAAGACGATTGGAAACCCCACCTGGTGACTCATGCCAGGCATTAGCCCTAGGATTAGGAACGCCAGGAGGAGAAGTCGCCACCAATTCTTCGCCATTGCCAAGAGAGTCTGAGAATTGCTGAGAATTGACTGGCACAGCTTCAGGCATCGAGGCTTTTATAGGGGAACCGTAGGAGTGGCGACCGTATACCGGGAACTACTTAATCTTATCGGTGGGTCTGGTCCGCGAACACCAAATGGTTCGCTCTTTTCAGTGTTGTCAGAACTTTAAATGTCTCATTTAAAATAAATGGTAAAAAAATATGAGGTGTAATATAATTTAAAGTATGCTGTAAACTCTGAATTCCCATATTTCCCATATTAAAGGTTTAAACCTTACTATAATTTTAACATGCAAATTAAACATGCTCTTGGGAGTGTGAAATAAAAATGCAAAAATGTTCCTACATAAGGAAAAAAATTAAAAATAATAGTGATGCCTAATAATATTGCTTATAAGAAATGGAGAACAATGTCTTTCAGAGATGATAGGAGATGATGAAACAAAATTTAAAAATTAAAATAATAAATAATAATGATGCTTAATAATAGTGATTATAAGAAAGGGAGAATAATATCTTTCAGAGATGATATAATAAATAAATTGGTAGTTCCGCAGTTCTTAACCCATTTCAATTGAATAAAAAGCCAGAAAAAGACCAAATTGCCATCGCTAGATCGGCTAAATCGCTGATTTCTGGTGGTCTTAGTGGGTTATTCTGGCCTTTGCGTTATTCTGGGAGTCATGTCCGCCAACCGTGAGCATGATTAGTGGGTTCGCTGCGTTGTACATTGGACTGGCTGCGCTTGGGCCAACTATTTGTTAGCTTCGCCAACCTTATCGCCGCACCCCAGACTATCCAAGTCCGATGTTCTACCATTCTACCATTCTACCATTTCAACTGTACTATACTAGACGCCAACTTCTTTATCACTGCGCTGCAAATAAATCAGTTGATTTCTCTCGATTCTTACTAAAACATTGATTTTTATTTGCCCTCATTAAATGTTTACCATCCATTACCACAATTGGTGAAATAAATCAGAGTTGGGCTGCCAGTGTCCGTAATTAGTGCGTCTAGGTTTTCTTTGATTTCCTTGATTTTCTTTTATCTTTATTGCATAGGCAGGTTACTTCTATCGGGACGGCTATTATGGTATTTATTATTCAAACGTGTTGCTCATAAATGTCTTGTTGTGTAGAATTTCGCCGATTTGAAGCTTGCTCATGGTGACTTAGGTATTCGAATAATACTTTAATTTTATCCGAAACTATCTTAATTTATCCACTTCCTCGGTGATTTATTGCGTACCTTTCCATTGACATTTTTGACTTTATCTTGATGTCAGACCTTTTACAAAGCTATCTAAAATGTTATCTTCAACTCTCGATGTTATCTTCAATTACCTGTAGCTTTTTTTGTCCCATAACATTGGTCGACAAGATAAGCAATTGTTTTGCTAAATGATTTCGATTTTTGTCGATGCTTTTAAAATAAATGTTTAGCCTATATTTAGGTGTTGTGTTTACTAATAACTACAAAAATCTAGAAAAAGCCTTAAAATCTGACTATTTATTGAAAAGTTATGAGCAACTAATGGAAAGCAAGCAGTGCAAGCAGTCTTCTCCTTCGCACTTCCTTGAACTAAGTAGCGTTCTCTGTTGTTTTTTTTTTTTTAGCATAAAGCATCACATTTTTCTTCCACAAAAAATCAAATAAAATCGAATAGTTGGTCTATTCCCCCGTTTATTTTACCCAACTTTCCGCAGCTTATCTTTATCTTTATGTTTATATATTCTTTTGCACTAAGTGTTATCCCAAGTTATCCGTCAGGCGGGGAAATAAGTGGCAGATCCATCAACCGGCTAATTCAGGGCACAATCTGCCCCATAAAGTTCTCAGCCGGCACTTGACTGGGTTTTAAGTCGACATCATTGCCCCACTTTGAGCATTATCGGGTTTTTTCCCCCACTCCTTGTGATTTTCTTCTGTTTCTTTCCCTGCCTTGTGTAGGTATGTATATTTAGGTAAAGGTATAGGTAGATGTATATGCTTTTGGAGCGAAGATAATCCCATCCGCAGATCCCAAACGTGCAGTCATCTCGGGGACTTAATGCATTTCCATACGCTCCACTGCAGACTCAAAGCCCCCCAAAAAAAAAAGAGTGGCTCGTCTTTTCGGGGTGTGGATGCAACATAAATTCAGGCGAACACCCCTAACAAAGTCTGCTCCATTCGAGCAGCTTGGCAATCCTTTCCGCTCGGCTCGGCTTCTTTCCTTTCCTTTCCATTTTTTTTCCTGCCCCACTTTGCTCCACTTACTCCTCGTCCTGGCAAATTGATTTGCGGCAAGAAAAGTACGCAAAAACTTGAAAACCAGGCTGTGGAGAAAAAGAGAGGAAAAAAAAATAAAATTAAAAATTAATGTTTGAAAATTTCTTGGTCATATATTTTAAATACGAAAATTTACCCAAGGGAGTCGAACCGTACACACACACACAGACACAATCCTGTTACCTGCTCATTTTATGCGCAAAAAGAAACGAACGGTAAAACACGTTAAAAGCTAAGACGAGGTCCCAACAACAACAGCAACAAAAGCGAGCGAAGGAGAATGGGAAGAAAGGAGCACAAAAGCACAAAGAGGAAGAAAAGAAAATCTCCTCTTCACAATAAGAATAACTATATACTCTTCCAAAAATAAATAATATTTTAAAACCCCAAAATAAAAAAACCTTTACTTTGTGCTACTAATTTTTAAAAAGTTTTGAGTCTATCGATAATATCGATCAATTTGAGAAACATTAGCAATAATTAAAACGTAACATAAAATAATCAAATTGCTAGTTTCCCAGTGTAAACATAGTTGTATTTATATTTCGGCAATAAACCAATTGATTTATGCACCCCAGATAAAAATTTTATGATATATCATAACTAGGAAGTTAATCGTTCACATTTTTGACCCTATCAGCAACAAAGGCACAGATTGGTGTAAAAGGTTTGATAACTGACATTTTATCAGTCAATTTGTTATCGGAATGTATAAAAATGCATTGAAACATCATGTTAAAAAAATTCCTAAAAATATTTGACAAACTGAGTGAAAAGTTAAGGCAACTCTTTGAGAAACGGTAAAACGGCGGCAGCTTCATTTAGTTTTTGGCCTGCTTCACATATGCATATACATACATATACTTATGTGCCCATATGTGAGTATCTCAGGGGGTGGTTGTGGGCTGCTGTGTGTGTGTGTGTGTGTGTGCGGCATTCGTTGCTACTTATGTTTAAGCTTCGTATTTAAGCTTTTTGCACGATTTCCTCTAACAAATGGATTTTCACTTGTTGCCCAGCCAGACGAACGAAGCCATCACACACAACCAAACACACATAGATGTGGGTGCATGCACTGGAAAAAAACCAAAAAAAAAAAAATATAAGAAAATATAAGCTTCAAAGAACAATAAATTAAGATTTTATATATTTCATTGTAAAATAATAATAAATGTTTATCTAATATATTTTTTTTATTTTAATATAATTGTATTAATATTCAAGATATAAAAATACCTATCATTGCTAATAGAAAACTCTTTGAAAGCTTAATTTTTTTAGGGCAAAGTTTCAAAATATTTTCTCACAGTGTTCACGTGTGTGTGATATCCTTATGGCCTTGTTGTCAGGCTCGTTTTTTAGATCTCCTTCCTGGACTCGTTTTTCTTTTTCCTTTTTCCCGCTTGCCTCGGCTAACAAATAATTTAATTTCTTGGGTCCTCTCTTATACTAATGTATATTCCTTGCTGCCTTTTCTAGCCATTTCGGTTTAGTCCTGGCCATTCTTTCCTGCCGGATAATCAGATAATCAGGCCAGAACTCAGCTCGACTGCCATTTATCGATACTCTCCAATCGCTCAATCATTGATTAGTCAGGCCACGAAATTATATACATATGTATATTTATATTATTTTGGTATATATGGGTGAGTTGGCCTCGGGACTTGGGGGCAGATTTTTGTCTGCTTGATTAATTGCAATTTTGTTGTGCCTTGAGCCGGGCAATTTGTTAGCCGGAAAGGAGAATATGCGTATGTGTGTATGCTAACTAAAAAGTATTATTAATGATGCTCAAAAGCGGGCCAAAACGAGCCAAAACGGCACTGCTCAGTAGTCAGTTGGCCTGCATTTGACATCGCTCATACGACGCGTTGTCTGAGATTTATGCCAGGACCAGGACTTTTCGCCAGGATTCGCCAGGAAAAGGGTGTGAAGTGGGTCAGTGGCTTGCAAACTGACTGGCTGATTAATAACAAACGCTTAAATCCGGCAAACACAACACACATAACACAAAACAGAACACAACACAACCAAGGCAGCCACAAAAACCAGTGACGAATTATTACGCATACGCACTCGGAAAATGAACTGTATCCACATGAGTGGGTGGAAAACTGGGCGGGGAAAGTGTGCGGAAAAGCTTGAGAAATGTGTTTACATGTGTGCGATTAGCCGCTTGCTGTGGCAACATCAAATAACCAAGGACAAAGTGGAATTGCATCGGAATCGAAATAATATTGTGTAATATTTAAGGCAGAAACAAACTTCAAGTGGAATTGCAGTATAATTTAAATGTCAGTCAAGTGAAGTTAGGGAAGGAATCTAAAGGAAATGAAAGTAAAATCTATTAAATATTAAATTTAAATTAAATTAATACAAAAAGTATTGAGAAACTTACTTAAATAAAGAAATTAAATGAAAATCAAGAGTAATATTAAAATAAAACGAACTATATATTAAATAAAACATAATAATAAAAGTTCAAGAAAATATATCTGAAAATTTAATTAAAATATTCTTGAAATTGGCAAACAAAGTAAGTAATATTCTTAGCAAATTCAAAATTAAAATTTAAGTTTAAGCGGAATAACGTTGAAATCAGAAATTATGTAAGTAACTAAAGTGTGAACTAAGCTTAAAGGATTTTTAATGGCTATTATTATCATTATCATTATTTATAGAAAATAAAGCCGGGTCAAGCGACATATCTACGCACTTAATCAAATCTTGTTTTACAG